CAGGAGAAAAACAAATTTAATTTCATATGTACAGGAGCTCATAGAAATATGAGACTCAAACAAGTGACCAAAGCAAGAAGCTTTTATACCTTTTAGACAAAGAAACAGTAAATATATGAGGAAATGACAGGACAAAGATGTGTAGGTTTGGAATATCACATTAGTAAAGAGGTAACAGGGTTTATTTATATAGCTTTCTCCACCCTGAGTTCCCTGTCACTGGTGATAAGGATGTCTCTTTTCCTCCTGGTGCAGGGAGGGTACCTTTCACATGGGAGATTTATTCTCTGCTTTTAGGGGGACAATGGAGGGTTACAGTGTCCTTTTTGCACTGGCTGTTTCTTAAATAATCAATATACCAAAGCTATTATTTCGAGGCAGTCTACCCTGATCCCCATCATTGGTAAAACCGTGCTCTCGCTTTCAGTCTGCACTGATGGAAACAATAGCCCAGGTTCCTATTCCTGTGCTGGAAGGAGATTTCCATGCATTATCTCACTTGATCCTCACAATAATCCCTAAATGGAGAAGGTAACATAATCCCCATTTTACACAGGAGCAAACATCTTTCACAGTTCAGTAAATGGCCGAGAAGCCGCCCTGCTGTGCCCAAGATGAGCTCCCATCAGGCCGGCCCTCTCCAGGTCACTCTCACTTCCTTCTTGCTGGCTGCTTGTCACTACTGTCAGTTTGGTCTGGAAAATGGAAAATCACAGCTCAGCTGTGCGCTCTAGAGCTGATTGTTTAGAGCCCTCCTGTCCCACCTGTTTTGTTTGCTTGAGCTTGAGATTGCTGAAAAGTGCAAGTGTGGCATGGTAGGCAGAATAATGGGTCCCCAAAGCTGTCCCTGTCCAAAGCCCCAGAACCTGTGAGTAGGTTACCTTACACAGGAGGAGAGATGTTGCAGATGTGATTAAGTTAATGATTTTGAGATAGGAGATTATCCTAAATTATCTGGTGGGTCCAGAATAATCACAGTAACAGAGGGAGACGGGAGTCAGAGATGTGATGATTGGAGCAGAGGTGGGAAGTGATGCTGTCTTGCCAATGGGTTCCAGCCCCAGCCAAGTTCACGATGGATCCAGTGTGACCAAAGAAATAACAGTGAAACGTTGCTGGGGTGAAAGGGTTATGCCCAACTTTATTTCCATGGTGGCAGGTCAGTCACTAGAATCTGTTCACTCAGAGCGAGTCTGCATGCAGCAAGCTGGTCTCTACCCACACAGCCGTCCTCTGGGCCTCTCTGCCCGTACAGCCTTCCTCTTGCTCTGACCTCAGCGCTGCCACCACTCCAACTACTCCAGCCTCTGCTCTGCTCTCCTGCAGCCTTGCAGCCGTGCCACCATGTCACCCAGAGCATTGGGCAGGGCTCTCTCTATAGAGTCAAAAATGATGCATTGCCCACATGTGTGTAGTGAGCTAGCCAACCAGGGCCAGGTGAGAATCCTGGCCACAGGAACCTTCTTCATTTTATCCACAGATGTGACAATAGATTTGCGTTGTTTTAAGCCACTAAATTTGTGGTAATTTGTTACGGCAGCCACAGGAAACTAATACACATGTTGTCTGACACTACCTCCACTACCCAGGGGCTAAAATTCATGCAGCAATGCCTGGTGATGTCGTCCCTTTACCCAGTGGTGGTATGTTCTGGTTATAAATAACCAGCATGAAGAAAAGGAATTGTTCTTGACCTTGAGGTTCTAAGAGCCAGCCTCACAAGGGCATGTAGCAAGGCCTCACAATCTTCAGGATCTTCCCTTTTGTTCTCTTTATAACACTAAAGCATCTTAAATATATTACTTCATCGTTGAGCAACTACTATGTGCCAAATTCCAGAAACTCAAAGATGAGTAGGACTCATCAGATCCTTAAGGAGCCTAGTCTAGTGGGGTGGCAGAACAAACAAGTTATTACAGTGCAACAAGATATGTGCAAAGACAAAAATATCTTCAGGAAAAGAATCCTAGTGCATGAGAAGTATGAACTTTGTTGGAGGCAGGGGACAGGGAGGCTTGGAGAGGAGTTGATGTCACAGCTGGGGGGTGACTAACATCTTTGGAATCCCTAGCTTTGGTGGGAGAAGTTTTGACCTAACTAAGTTCCATTGCCCCCAGACTTGGTTTCTGCCAGGTTGATGGCCTCGGTGGAATCTCTTTCCTGCAAACTTCAAAGCTGAGGAGGGAAGAAAACTCTGAGAAGAGTCTAGTTATGAGAAGAGTTGCTGATACCCACAGAGTATATTTAGTAAAAGGAAAAGAAGGGACGCAAACTCCACAGTCCAAGCAGGTTTATTGCTAAACCCGAGAGGGACCTCCTCTGTTCTGGCGAGCAGAACAAAGAAGGCGTCTCTTAACAGGCGGAGAGGCTTTTATGGCCAGGTTTTTTTGGCGGGCTTTTGAGGGGAGGGGTCAGGGAAAAGGTGGGCTTGTGGCTTGCTGACGTGTCCTCCGGAGAATGCTTGCAGCCTAAGTGAGATGAAACCTAGGTTTCTGGGAGATGGTGGGTGGACTTATTAAAAAAGGCAGTACGTTAGAGTCCTAGAGATCCACTCTCCATGATTTCCTTAGAACTTCAAGAGAGAAAGAAAGTGAAAGGTTTCATAAACTAATAAACTAATGTACCGGCTAAATGTAAAGCATTGTTATCTACAGTTGACCCTTGAACAACCATGGGTCAAGGTTATATGTGGATATTTTTCAATAAATATATTGGAAAATATTTTGGATATTTTCAGCAATTTAAAAAACCATTTTATTTTCTTTAACCTACTTTAATGTAAGAATACAGAATATAATACATATAACATACAAAATACATATTCATCAACTGTTTATGTTATCAGTAAGCCTTTGGTTGAATTTAAGACAAAACTAAGTGAGTACCACCTCCCCCCAAATCCAGCTATGCCTGAAAACAAGATGGATTTGTCAGGCTAACTGAGACCTTAACAAAATGGAGTCAGAAAGTCATGTATTGACAAGCGGTCACACATTTTCTGTATTCTTGGAAGAATCACAGACTGACATTTGCTCTTTAAAGCAAAACCAGTCTAAAACAAAACAGGGCAGGCTGAGTAGTCAGCCAATCAGCTGTGACTTGCATCAACCATTAGGGACTAACAAAGTCTGCATCCCTTGTTTGCATAAGAGGACCCAAATGGGAACCCAGGCAGAAGCCTTTTTCGATAAAAAGAACCTCCTCTATTTCTTCAGAGTGTACTTTTGGTTTAAAGCCAAGGTTATACCTTCCTTGTTTAGAAACCCTTTTTTAGCAGTAAGTTCTCCTTAATTAAATTCCTTGTTTTACACAGAGATTTGTTAACTCAGTCAACAGTAGGCTATTAGTAGTTAAGTTTTGGGGGAGTCAAAAATTGTACACAGATTTTCGACTGTCCAGGAGGTTGGCACGCCTAAGCCCTGCATTAGTCAACTATACTTGCTTGGGATTTGTTAAAAAATGAAAAACAAGCCCAAAATGGAGTCACTTACCCCCAACAGCAAACCAAAATTTATCCCATAATGTGACATTTTAACAGCCAATCTGAAATTTCCTGATCAGTACTAGTTTGGTAACCTGCATGATAAAAATCCTGCCATTCCCTTCCCATCTAAAAGATGTCCTGGCCTGAAACAATTCTTTCTTTTCTTTTTTAATAAACGTCTTGCCCCACCCTCTTTCTTATAAAAACCTTCCATTTTGTACAACTGGGAGCATCTTTCTATTTGCTAGACAGGGTGCTGCCCAAATAATGAATCACTTAACAAAGCCAGTTAGATCTTCAAAGTTGCTCAGTTGAATTTTGTTTTTTAACAGATCCATGCTTAGACTCTGGGAACTTTCTTCTCAGTTTTTGTCTCTACGCTAAGGCAATTTTCCCAATAAGAAAATAAACACAAGCTATGGGTATAAAAACTAGGTGTATTTTTCATGGGCAAAATCTAACATGCTCCATTTAAAATATATTAAATTTTAGATACAAAGATTTATCACAGAAACTGGGGCATAACAACCCTTTCTCATTATGATTTTCCATCCCTAATTCTACTTAACCCCGACGAGAACACATACACACCATTTCCTGAGAAATACTGACATATCAAGAAACTGAATTTTAAAACTGAAAAAGACTTTAAATATAATTTAATCAGAGCTTGTTTTACAGATGCAGCACCTGACGTCTGTGGGGGCTGAAAATGCTTCCTGATTATAGAGCTAGGGACTGTGCCTAGATTAATATCCAAGTCTCCCAATTCCCAGCCCAAAATTCTTGACGGTACATGATTCTTATGGCTTAGTTTGCTTCAAGGTTTACCTGGACTTACTATTTTGTTCACAATAGCTTTAGGCAATAACAATTCTACCTTTGTAGTTCAAGTCTTTTTCACAAAAAAAGTTAAACTTTATTGATCAGAATTTTAAATTGATTTTACCAATTTTTACAAATGACGAAAGTAAGGTAGGAAATGGCAGACGTTTTGAAGAAAAGGTAGCATAAATTAGTCCAGATTAAACACTTTATAAATCTTCATTATAGATAAGCATGTAAAGTATTTCATTTATAACATTATCATTATAAACCTATAAAGCATTAAATATTAGGATATTTTTCCTCAAAGTATGAAGTGACGATGTTTTCTGTGATAAATGGGATACTTCCATGAATGTAGAAAAGGTTTGGGTAGAGAAGAGCCTTGGCTCAGTTATACAGGCTTAGCAGAAGAGGTTCTGGTTACCAGGAGGGAAAAACCTCTACTCTTAGGTCCACTTGACGTCAGCTGTCATAGTGGGGCTTCCTGAAGACTGGCACCAAAGAGTACAGTCCATTTCCTGTTTAGTCTAATATATAAAAGGATATTACCAAGGGATACTACTACCCGTTTTTATTATAATTATTTCAACCACAGACTTCTGTTACGTGATTTTCCACCTGTTTATCATTTTGTTTTTGCTGAGTAATTCAATCAACTGGAGCAACTCCCGATAGTGTCTATTCTTGCTTAATTGGAGGAAGAAGATTTAAACAATTGACTCCACGTCTTATGAGGAGGCTTTCCAAAAAGACTGAAAAAGTTGGAAAACAACCTCTTTCGGTGGAAACTACGGATGAATAAGAGACGCCCGCGAGGGAGCGCCTTTCTCACAGGCGCCACGCCCAGGAGCGGCGCGGCGCGGGGGTGCGGAAACGCCCTTCTGGGAGCCGAGCGCCCTCCCGGCTGCCGACCGCGGTGTGCGGGGACAGGGGACAGGGGGCAGTTCCGTCGGGCCCGGGCTCAGGCCCCCGCGGCGCAGGCCGTCCGAGCCCGCGGGGCGCGCGGGGGTCAGGTCGAGGACGCGGGCCGAGCCGGGGAGTGCCCACGTGACCGCCCCGCCCGCCGCCGGCCGGGCCGCAGCTCCCGGCGTGCTCCTCAGTCGCCGCTGCCCGCCGCCCCGCCTTCTCCGCCCAGCGCCTCAGAGCCGGATCCCCAGCCGCCGCCGCAGCCACCGCCGCGGGCACGATGGTAAGGCGAGCGCGCGGGCCCAGGGCCGGGCGTGGCGAGCAGAGCCCCCGGCGCGCCCCTGCGGGGCTCTGGGGGCGAAGCGCCATTTTAACCCGGCTTGGGCCTCAGGGTGGTCGTTGCTGCGCTGCGGCCCCGGCTGCGCTCCGTCCGGCCTCCCGGCCCCGCCGCTCCTCGAATTCCTGGGGGCGGGGAGGGCTTGGGCGCGGGCCGGGGGTCGGAACCCGAGCCGAGCGGGCGGCGTCCGGAGGGGCCGCGGGAGGGTCGGCCGCCTCACTCCGCTCCAGCCGGCTGTGCGCTGAGCTTCCAAATTTTACTTGACACGCGCGCCCTGAAATTGGTGCGTGCTCTCAGGCCGTTGCCGAAGGCGTTCGGGGAGGGTCTTGACGGCCTGTAGTAAACCCCTCAGGGGGAGATTGAGGAGGTGGAAAAACGCTTTTAAAAATGCTTTCTCGCCGTAGAAAGCTTTTACACTAAATCCGTTAGTTTTGAAGTGTCTCCATTTGAGCTGTGCGGCAATTATGTTGTAGCTGTGGGCGGCTTGGCGTACACACTTGATTCCCTTTCCTTATGAGGAAACGGCACTGGCTAGGATGACTTTAAAGAAAAAAATAGTAGAAGCATTAACTGAAATCCCAAAGTGTTTTTTTAAGGCCTGCAGTGTTGACACAATACAGAAGGTATGTTCTGAAGCTCTGACATCACTCAGTGAAATAGGAAACATTTCAGGGATGGGACAGCTTGTATTTGTCCCTTTCTCTCTACCTTTCACTTACTTCAACCTCCAAACCTCTTTAAAAAGGGTGAATGGGGCGGGATGAGTTAGAATCAGTGTGTCATGTACTGATACTTAAAATGTGGCAGATATGATTGGCATACTTGACTGATAGAATGCAATTTTTGATGGCCAAACTAAAGGGAGCCAAACTAAGGAACCAAAACACTTGTTCTGAATTACTGTTCATTTTTTATATTTTCAGGCTTCTGGAGTTACAGTGAATGATGAAGTCATCAAAGTTTTTAATGATATGAAAGTAAGGAAATCTTCTACACAAGAGGAGATTAAAAAAAGGAAGAAAGCAGTTCTCTTCTGTTTAAGCGATGACAAAAGACAAATAATTGTAGAGGAAGCAAAGCAGATCTTGGTGGGTGATATTGGTGATACTGTAGAGGACCCCTACACATCTTTTGTGAAGTTGCTACCTCTGAATGATTGCCGATATGCTTTGTACGATGCCACATACGAAACAAAAGAGTCTAAGAAGGAAGACCTAGTATTTATATTCTGGTGTGTAAAAACGAAAGAAAAAAGTACTTTTAAAATGCAAGGATTGTTATTAACATAGTCCGTTTTACCTTGCTTTTTCTTTTAAGTGGGACTTATAAGTTGTTCTTGTTTTTTTTCTGTAGGGCTCCTGAAAGTGCACCTTTAAAAAGCAAGATGATTTATGCTAGCTCTAAAGATGCCATTAAAAAGAAATTTACAGGTACAACATTGCATATTTTGTGTAGAGGAGTTACTCTTTCTTAATTATAATAAGGTAATGGGATGTTTTCTTTTTTAGGTATTAAGCATGAGTGGCAAGTAAATGGCTTGGATGATATAAAGGACCGTTCGACGCTTGGAGATAAATTGGGAGGCAATGTAGTAGTTTCACTTGAAGGAAAACCCTTATAAAGTGACAGTCAAGTGCCATCTGCATCTTAAGGAGCTTCCATTTCTGCAGCTCAATTAATTGGAATAGTGTTAGGTTTTCAGTTTTTTTTTTCCTCCTCTTCCCACTGGCTCCTTCTAACAATGAATGGAGGAAATACCATTCATGTAAGCAGTCTATCAGTGATTGCCATTAGACTGTTTAATACCATTAACTTTTATGTAGAATCCAAGGAATGCCTTCCCATTGTATTTAAGCCAAAACAACTGGTCATAGCCTCCCTTGCAGCAAGCACTATAATGAATGTGATTGTCAATGTGAATAGCTTAGAATACTGCAAAGGGTAAGATAATTGAATGCCTTGAAAGTATTATCCACTGGTCAGATGGTAAACTTTATTCAGTATTATTTATAATTGCACTTGATTGCAGTTCTGTGAGGCTCAGAGCATTCATACACCTCACCTGCCTTGGCAAGCCTATTTTTGTGACTTGGCAACACAGATACAACACTATGCATTGAAAGCACTTTTTTATAATAAGTTCATCCTCACCCCCAAAAGGAATGCCAATTAAGTTGTTTGTCAAATCAACTCATCCTAGTACCTCAGTGTTCATTCCTGTTACCTGTATATCTTCTTAAAAGAAATAGCTGTTACTAATACCTTTTTTTCCATTGAGTGTACACTACTGAATAAGTGTAGGAGCTTATGTTTACCATGTTAAGTCTTGCAACACTAAAGATATTTTCAATATCAGTCATGATGGCAATTTCTGTATAAAAGAGCCTTAAATGGAACATTGTTTTTGAGATCAAACTCCCTACCCTCACAAAAATGGCCACGTTGCAATAAAAATTGTGGCATATGACAGAATGTTGCCTTGTTTTCCTTGGACATTTTACAAAAGGCTATGTGAAGCAACTTCTAAGGTAAATCGCTATTCTCTGCACTGGTCATTTAAGAGTTTTTTTGTATAACATTCATGTGTGATACTTTCCAATTTATTTGGTTTAAAAAATATTTTAAAGCCAACTAATATAAAGTATTATTATAAAGGGGTACTTTTATAAGTTGTATTTATTTCCTTATGTGTTATAAAGGGAGATCAGAAATTATTTTTTTGCACTTTAACATAAATACTCTTCAGTACCTGATTTGTTCTCTGGATAAATTAGGGTGGTTCTTTTTTTATTCACGTTTACATTTCTAAGTAATTGAATAGTAGAAGCAGGAAGCTCTTGCAGCATATTTTGTCACAATTAAAATAATTTGTAAAATGTTGTCCTTCAAAAGTTTAGTAATACTTCTTTAATTTAGGAGTTTTAATTTCAGCTACTATTTCTTAATTTGCATATTAGAAAAAAAAGAATTGACAAAGCGGTCTCAAACATTAATAGTGGGATTTGGCTGTAGTCCAGACTGCTCTCCTTATAGAGAATTTGATCTGCCCAGTGTGAGCAGTTTGCTGTTAGCCAGAGCTATTTATGGCAAACACATGCTTTTGTATCTTGTCATAGTTATCCACAAATGGCAAAACTGGACTTGATTCTACTGGTATGCAAAACGGGCAGGCTAGTAAGCACTCAATTGTGGCTTAGAACTTAACCCCATATCTCTGAAGAGTGCTCTTATTCAAAAACATGAAATGAAAAATTCCCCTTTTTTTAATGTATAGAAGTAATTCAAGTATAATTTTATACGTTTCCATATTTTCAAACGATTTTTCAGATGAAAACAAAGGAGTTAAACGTCTAAGCTTCCATTTAAAATTATATAAGTGGCTTAGGATCTTTTGCACTGAACAGTTTTATTTCAGGCTTCCAGCTGTCCGTATGAGTTACCCTGGACATTTGATGGCTTTTTGTAAGGCCAAACTCATAAGTAAAGCATGAGAATACTGACATACTAAACCATATGTGTAACTGATAATCTGTACCATAGATTTTTCCTTATTTTCCTCATTCTAAAAAATAAGGGACTCTAAGTTATGTAGTATCTTTTGTTTTTATAGCTGACTTCTCAATTTTCTTACATGCCTCATATATATAATTCAGTGATTAAATACTGCTTTAAACTGTGGTACTTTGATTTGTTAGATTGACAGAACTGATACTGTTAAGTTTATCTTTGAAATATGTCTTTGTGCATAAAGCCAAAAATAATTACAAAATTAATGGTTCATGTGTTACTTGAGGCTGATTTGGCATTTGAAATGATCGTTTTATTTTACAACAATTTACAATGAAACAGTGTTCCAGTTAGCTTTAAAAGGTAAACGGTGCTAATTAGTAAAATATTGAGGGCAGTGTTTTACTGCTAGCTTGCAAAATTTTTAAGTGTTTAAAAAAATAAAATATATGAAAATATATAAAGCTGCTGAGACGTGTTTACTTATGTACTTCAGAACAATAAAATTTTTAAAGCCAGTATTGCAGATCAGAGAGGCATTATCCTTAGTCTGTTTTTTAGGATTTCGTTTAAATACTTTATCATTTATGGATATTAGTATTTGAAGACTGAATGTTGTAGCGAGTAACTTAATATTCTCAGACAAATGGGAAAAGTTGGCATTTGTCCCCAACTGGCTATCAGCTGTTGTTTTCCGTCATTATCTAAAATAATGAGGCCAGCATTGTGTATTTAATGTGCCTTTTTAGTAGATTGGAAGAAAAGCCTCTTACTAGGTCTGATACATATCTTTTATAGCAGTTAATTTATGGAATCTAGCAAATGAGATTCGAGAAAAATTACTTTAAAAGTGTTTCCCTGTTAAGGAATAATCTCAGCAATGGTAAATCATAGAGGGATTGGGAACACCTCTCGTTAGTTTCACTACTCTGAAAAAGTCATGTGGTTCTGCACTTACCAGTCCTGTTTTTCCTTGCAAATTTAATAGTTTGAGAGCCAAAACAAACCTTTTTCTATCATATGAAAGCTATTAGAGATATGTAGGCAGGCTTCAATGCATATTACTTTTCAGACAACATGAATTTATAGATATTCCATGTCTCAGCCAGTAAAGAAGGCTGAGGCTTTTCTTTTGCTCTACATCATCCGAATAATTTATTTCTTTCCATGTAGAAATGGAATCATCCCTCCCCTTTGGAAAACTTTCTTGCTATAAAGCAGTTGGGCAAATTAATCTCTCTAAGCCTCAGGTTCTTAATTCATAATATGAGAATGATAATATCTGTCTACCACACCTGATTGCTGAGGATCAAATATTGAAATGCTTTTGGGAAAACAGGAAAATGCTATATAAATGTAATTCTCTCAAACTATTCATTCTAAGTTAGTGTAGCTAATACAATAAGGTTTATTATAAGTCTTTGAACCTCTTTTGTAACTACCAGTTGACCCTTAAAGCAACATGGGTTTGAACTGCTAGGTCCACTTACACATGGATTTTTTTTTCAATAAATATATTGGAAAAGTTTTTAGAGATTTGTGACAATCTGAAAAACATTTTTCTCTAGCTGACTTTATTATAAAAATATGTAATAACATTTAACATACAAAATGTGTTAATCAACTGTTGATGTTATTGGTGAGGCTTCCCAGTCAACAGCTGCCTATTACGTTTGGGGGAGTCAAAAAGCTATATTGAGATTTTTTTCCTGTAGGAGTGGGGAGAATCAACACCCCTAGTCCCTATGTTGTTCAAGGGTCAGCTGTATTTTCTACTTGATCTCACAGTTTAAGGACTAATGACCTGATACATAGCATCTTTTTCGGATTGAAGTACAAAGTTAGCCTCTGATGTACGTTTCTGCTCTTAATCTTTTCAATGCAGTTTTCTTTATCACATTTGACCAATTAGGTGCTATTTTTTTCCCCAAAATAATTTTGAAGTAAAAGGGAAAATAAAGTTGAGACTTATTACTGTTTTGGAATACTTGTCATAGATTTATGATCCAGGTTGTTAAAAATCTATGACTTTATTATTAATACCCCAAATTTGTATGGTCCTTTATAATATATTCTCAAGGCACTTGAAATCCATCTGATCACCCTAAATCCTCTTAACCAGCTAACCATATTTCTCTGCTACCCATAAAGAAATTGGAAGTTTGGAGAAGTTAAGGGATATCCTAGCTGTTGCATAGCAAAGCTGTCAAGTCCAGTATACTTTTCACTCTGCATTTATATTGTAACATATAGTGAGTTACTAATTTTCTTAAATTAGTAAGATAGAATTAAAAAGATGAAATAGGTAATTTTTTGAGCAAGGCATAACTAATTAATTGTCTATGTTTTTACAGTAGCATTTCAATATTTGAAACATCTTGAAATTGTTTTCTTAGAAAGCCCATGCTCATCAGAATTGAAATATTTTGCACTTCAAAGATTTTCTTAGATGTTTCAGGATTGTAAATTTAGAGGATTGTGGAAACCATAAGGATTGTATAGATACATTTTCCAGAAAGCTGATACCTCTTACTCTTTTTCCAAAAATCTGGATGTCTCTTTCCCCCTGTTGCTCTACCCATCTTTCTAAGGAGAGAGAGAGTACAGGGTATTACAGTGGTTAAGAACTAGAACTTTGGTATCAGAGTGCCTGGGTTGTTCATATATAGGCCTTTAACATTTACTAATGTCTTATGAAAATCACTTAACCTCTCAAAGACTTAGTTCTATGAGGAGGGGATAATGTACCCCATTTATAAGATTGTGGAGATAAATGAAAACAGTTGTAATAGGTCCTGGCACATAGAAGGCACTAAGTATGGTGTCCCTAAAATTTACAGTCTAAACCCAAGACACTCTTGAGAGTAAAAGGGAGAGCTATTGATAATTATGCCAGGACAAGAAGCTTAAGCTGGGACAATCCTAAACAAACCAGATGTGGTCACCCTATCAAGAAGTGGGCTGATATGTGGATATCAAAATGTATTATTTAAGTAGAAGGACTATTGAAGACCATTAATTTCAGTTATAATGTACCAGAAGCCCACTTGAGAGTCTCCTAAAGTATATGATTGCTCTTAAGTAATTAACCTCAGAAGAATCGACTTTGGCTCTTAATTCTTTTTTCTTTTTCTGTAGCTTTCCTTTTGACTTTCATACTTACAAACTCTCAGATACTGCATTTTGCCATCAGTATGCTTTAGCTGTAGCAGCTTCTCTTAATTCTTGCTTTTTAATCTCGTGGATTTAGACATCCAAGTTTGTTAAAATTGTGTATAAGAAAATAGATTGAGAGCAAGGGCTTGAGATGAAAATGCTTGAGCACATGAACCGCCTAACAAACCTTTTGGCTGTTTAAAGAACTTTGGTGTTCTTCCCAGGTATTGTTTTCACTTTTTTTAAGTAAGGTATATAAACTAGCTGAGCTGTAGAGGCATTACTGTATCCCGGTGAGGTGTCTAAATTATCATTATAATGAAGTCATACTTGCCTTTGACTGTACCTGTATCATTAAAGGCACATGAAGGAATCCCCATTATTAAAAGAAAGTTTGTTCCTGGTCTTTTTTAAATTACTGAAACAATAATAGGACATGAGAACAAGCAGTTGGTAAGCAAAGTAACCTTTATAAATATAAAATGCTAGTTGACTTTTTTAGTTTATTAGATTTTTTTTTTACATGTACCCTAGACATGTGTTCATTTGTAAGAAGCTTTAGATAGTGTTGAAATACTTTTCATTCATTCTTGGCTTCTGACAGCTAGTTGGTTATTCATATACAACATATTAGTAGTTTATTTGGCATAACAAAAATTTGGAACAGATATTTCAAATGTATAGTTTCTCACAGAAATGAAGAAGCCCGTTAATGGTATACTATTTTTCTTGTGGCACTTTTTCTCTTCTTTACATGTTCTTATTAATGGAATTTCAAATATCTCCTTTGGGAGGTTGATAGTTATTGAGTGAATCAGAATATTCCTGGGCATATGGCCCAAAGCCTTCTATGTGTTCCTGTGAGTTGATGGGGCTTTTTTTTTGTTTTGATTAGCTACAAATTAAATCACCAGATAAAAAGAAAGACAGTTCCCAATCTGGAATAGTTGGACACAGTCTTACAAAAGGTAAAAACGGAGAGTATTTTGTTTTAGACATCATAAAACTTTGCTATACCACAAAAGAAATAAGATCTGAAAGAGTCGACTTAGTAAGTGACAAAGAATTTTATGTGGGGATTAAGTTAACATTTAAACCTTTTGTGTATAAAATAGCTGTGGATCAAAGATTGAGAGAAAAGTGATACTGCCTTTACTCATTACTGCTTATTGATAATTGTGTTATAAAGGAATGTGTAGACATTTTATATAGTTTCAAAAAGTTCATATGGAGAAGGGAATGAGGAGCTAACAAAACTGGCATTAGCCATTTTCCTAATTTCAAATAGATATTAAATCTGGGTTTTTTTAGGCTTAACTGATCTTTAAAAATCAAGACAAATAAAATTATTGATACACAATTTTTAAAACTTTCAGAGTGAGTAATGTATACATTTTTGTATAACTGCTGAGCTAGAATTTCATTCATTATGAAATTAATACTTCCTTATTTTGGTTTTGTTTTTATCTACTTGCTAAGGAAAAATACTTTATGCTTATCCTAGTAAATGGCAGCTCTTAAGAAATACCAGGTGAATGAATTGGCTATCTCATGTCATGGTTATAGAAAGAAGTTTAAGAAGTTTTGGGATCAATTGAAGTGTCATTGCCACTACGACAAAAAAGTTTCCTTCTCTGAACTGTATTTTGTGTCATTCAAATTTTCCGTTGGCAATGTGTAAAATAAATTAATAGAATTCTAGAAAGTGAGCCTTCAGTGAAACAAATTCTAATGACATTCTCTGAAAAATCCTAACAGATGGGCTAAACTAATATAGTTAATATTCTTCTGGATAACTCTTAAAGTTAATTAAACTCTTAATCATATTTTTATTCCAAAAATAACATGTTCAGTGTGGAACCTCTGCAAAATACAGAAAAGAACAAGTAAAGTTAAATCATGAGCTAATTTTAAACACTGCAGACAAATGACTTGTCTTAAACTATTATGAATAATGGGGAGAGTCCTGTAGTTAAAACTAGTTTCAAGTTATTTGTATATGCTGGTAAGAGGAGAGACTTTATCCTTAAATATTGTTTATGCAAATTCCTTAGTATCTTTCATCCCAGAAAGAGAACTTTGTTGTGGCTCTGGTTAGAGAGGAACAGATTTCAGTCTTGAAAATTATGTAACACCTACCACAATGCTGCATACTTGGTGCTGTCTACCAGAAATTTGAAGCCACAAAATTTCCCTATATTGCTCATGCCATCTACTTTTATTCCATTGGGATTTGATGATAGGCAACCCTTGCATAGTTTTTACTGTTTCCCAAAGGAATTAATTTTCAAGATAGTTTCCAATACATCAGGGCCCTATTTTTCAGTATGTGTAGGATAAAGTTTAATAGATGCTATTCCTGGCAC